CAAAGTGCATCCCTCTCAAGATGTCCACAGCCTGGCCACATGCTAACTCATTACATATAACAGAGGCAGTTTTGAAATCAATGTGTGAAAAACAAACTGTAGCCCAAGTTTCTTCTTGCTTTACTTTCAGATGTCCTGAGCAGGCAGTGTCCCCTCCAGTCAGATGCAGCCCAGAGAAACCTGGGAAAAAAACCAAACAGGAAATCCAGCATCAAGGGCTGGTTGTACTGACCTAATTTAATAACTCCCATACCTTCATGGACAAGACACATGTCACTTCTCTGAAGACCACTGACGCTTTTAAATAACCATTGTGGCAATCCCTGTATGCCAATGATGAGAGAAAATGGTGTGTGGGAATGCTTATTTCTTAGTATGTGAAAATACTAAATCCTTGGAAAGCCTCAGAAGAAGGAAAGTTTTGAACATTTGCCAAATGCTTGAGAAGTAGCAGTCCCCAAATAAATAAATAAATAAATGGCCATTTCCTAGTGTGTGTCCTCAAGACTTCATTATTCAAATGAACAGGAACCTGAAGCGCCCCAGAAAGAGGAAACAGGAAATGTTGCACCCATCTGGATAGGGTGCCTAGAGTCCTGAAGGGCAAGGGGGCCCAGGAAGGCTGGACATTCTTCAAGAAGGAAGTCTTAAAGGCGCAGGAGCAGGCTGTCCCTGTGCGCCGTAAGATGAACCGGCAGGGAAGACGACCAGCCTGGCTGAACAGGGAGATTTTCCTCGAACTCAGGGAAAAAAGAAGGGTCTACCACTCTTGGAAGAAGGGGCAGGCAACTCAAGAAGAGTATAGGGATCTTGTTAGGTCATGTAGAGGAAAATTACAGAGGCAAAAGCCCAACAAGAACTCAGTCTGGCCACTGTTGTAAAAACCAACAAAACATGTTTCTACATTAACAGCAGAAAGAGAGCCAAGGAGAATCTCCATCCTCTGTTGGATGTGGAGGGGAACATTGCCACTAAGGATGAGGAAAAGGCTGAGGTACTTAATGCTTTCTTTGCCTCAGTCTTTAATAGTCAGATGAGCTATCCTCAAGATGATCAGCCCCCTGAGCTGGAAGATGGGGACCGAGAGCAGGATGAACTCCCCATAATTCAGGAGGAAGCAGTTAATGACCTGCTATGCCCCCTGGACATTCACAAGTCTATGGGGCCGGATGGGATCCACCCAAGAGTACTGAGTGAGCTGGCAGAGGAGCTGGCCAAACGACTTTCCATCATTTATCAGAAGTCCTGCTTAGCAGGGGAGGTCCCAAATGACTGGAGGCTTGCCCGTGTGATGCACATCTATAAGAAGGGCAATGAAGCTGGTGAGTACAGGGGCACGATCACTTCCCTACTCCTGCTCGCCACACTATTTCTGACACAAGCCATGATGCTGTTGGCCTTCTCGGCCACCTGGGCACACTGCTGGCTCATGTTCAACCAGTACTCCCAGCTCCTTTTCCGTGGGCAGCTTTCCAGCCACTCATTCCCAAGCCTGTAGCACTGCATGGGGTTGTTGTGACCAAAGTGCAGGACCCAGCATTTGGCCTTATTATACTTCTTACAATTGACCTCGGCCCATCAATCCAGCCTGTCCAGATCACTCTGCAGAGCCTCTCTACCCTCAAGCAGATCAACACTCCCACCCAATTCAGTGTCATCTGCAAACTTACTGAGCAAGCACTCAATCCCCTCATCCAGATCATCGATAAAGATGTCAAACAAGACTAGCCCCAAAAGTGAGCCCTGGGGAACGCCGCTTGTGACCGGCCACCAGCTGGGTTTAACTCCATTCACCACAACACTTTGGGCCCGGCCATCCAGCCAGTTTTTAACCCAACTTAGAGTGCACCTGTCTAGACTGTGAACCACCAGCTTTCCTAGGAGAATGCTGTGGGAGACTGTGTCAAAGGCTTTAGTAAAGTCCAGGCAGATGACATCCACAGCCTTCTCCTCATCGACTAGGCAGGTCACCTGGTCATAGAAGGAGATCAGGTTGGTTAAACAGAACCTGGCTTTCATGAACCTGTGCTGGCTGGGCCTGAGTCCCTGGTTGTCCTGCACACGCCATGTGAGCGCCCTCAAGATGAACTGCTTCATAATCTTCCCTGATACTGAGGTCAGGCTGTGAAGGGCCTGGAGAACAGGTCTTATAAGGAGTGGCTGAGGGAGCTGGGGTTCTTTAGTCTGGAAACGAGGAGGCTGAGGGGAGACCTTATTGCTATCTACAACGAGCTGAAAGGAGGTTGTAGCAAGGTGGGGATCGGTCTCTTCTTCCAAATAACTAGTGATAGGACAAGAGGAAATGGCCTCAAGTTGCGCCAGGGGAGGTTTAGATTGGACATTAGGAAAAATTTCTTCACCGAAAGGGTTGTCAAACATTGGAACAGGCTGCCCAGGGAAGTGGTGGAGTCACCATCCCTGGAGGTGTTCAAAAAACTTGTTGATGTAGTGCTCCTAGACATGGTTTAGTGGATATGGTGGTATTAGGCAGATGGTTGGACTTGATGATCTTGGAGGTCTATTCCAACCTAATGATTCTATGATTCTATGATCTTCAGAAAAGGCTAAAAAGACAGTCTGAAGCTCTATAGGCTGGTCAGCCTCACTTTGGTACCTGGATAAAATATGCAGTGAGTCCTCCTGGAACACATTTCTGGGCACAAGGAGGTGAATGGGAAGAGTTAGCATAGATTTACCGAGGATAAATCATGCCTATGTGACCTTGTTATTTTCTCTGATAAAATGGCTGGATTTGTGGATAAGGGGAGACCAGCAAGCATCATTTACCTCATATTCAGCAAGGCCTTTGACAGTGCCCTGCACAATATTCTTGTGTCCAAACTACACAACTGCATGGTTAAAAAATTGATTGGATGGTCAGGCTCAGAGACTAGTGGTTAGTGGGTTGCACTCTACCTGGATGCTGGCAACAAGTGGAATACCACTTGTTGGGTCTTTCCTGTTCTATTCATCATCTTTATCAACATCTGGGAGGAGGTGATGGAGGGTAGCCTTTGGGGGGTGGTATGTGATAACCCTAAGGTCAGAGCTGCTATTCAGAGGGACCTAGACAGGCTGGATTAACGGGCTGACAGGAAACTTACAAAAATTGAAAAGGACAAATGTGAAGCCCTGAAGCTGGGAAGGAAAAGCTTCTTGCAATGGTACTTTATTCAAAGAACAAAACCAAGCACATCTTGTGGAGGAAGGCAGCCAAACAGACATTGGTTTTATTTGCTGTTGCAGACTGTCCTGTCTCAGCTTACATGAAGACAAGAGAAGAAGGTCAGTTGTATCGCATTACTCAGCCTTTTCTTGCTTCTCCATCTACACCTTCTTTCTCAGCCTCCATTCCTGGTCAAAGACAAGTTTAGTTCTGCTCTCCTGTTGCCTTGGGGAGCTGTGCTAGAAACAAATTGTGTTTCTTTTTCTGTTCTATGTCCTTTACTATGTCTCCTTCCATTCTATGTCATTGCTGTGCCCAGGCAAAGGAGACATACAGTTGTAGTGAGCAGAAGGCTTAATGCTGGTGCAGCTTGCTTTGGCTGAGGGGAGGTCATGGAGAAAGTGTTACCTCTCTGCAGTACTTGACTTTATCCAGCTAGGACAAAGTCTGATGTCTGCCTTGTAGCATTTTTCTATTATACAAGTCTGGATGACTTCCTACCTGAGCAGATCACTCCAGTATCAAAGTAATGAGGGCAGGTGAAAGCACCCCATCCTGCATGTGAACAATTCCAGAGAGTGGATTCATCACCACGGCAATCAACTCGATACAACCACGTTGGTCCTGATCCTTCTCCAAAAGGAGCTCGATTAAGGGCCTGAACAGCAGATCCGCATCGTAGTTGCTTACAAACAACCTCAGCATCTTCTATGGTCCAGTCACCATCGCACACAGTTCCCCACTGCTCCTCATGTTTTACTTCCACTCTCCCAGAGCAGGGGCCGGTTCCATTTGATAGTCTTAATTCATCAGCACCTTCATACACAGAGACAGAGTAAGGTTATGGACAGGACAGTGCCTAATCATGATTATCTATTGCAGATGGTTAATGAGATTATTATTACTCTTAATTTGCTCTTAAATCAGACTTATTCAGTTCACCTTTCTAAATGGTCCCAATGCTCTTTATTCTTTCCCTCATCTCTTGCCCTAGCCATGGGATCCCCTAGTATCATGAGAAAGGGCAAAGGAATTTGGCAGAAAATAAACCCCTTACTTTCCAACTTGTCCTCAGATATCAGAGGGGCTGGTGACAGCTGGGCTTAGATTCTGAGTGATGTCCAATTCAGCTCTAGAAGTCTGGTCACATCCAGTATCAGTCTAGTTGTGCTTAACAGCTCACACAGCTAGATAATTGAACTATCACAATTATGGAGTCCCTGCACTGTCAGTCTAGTGATGCTCAATGAAACTATCACGGCCACATGTAGGGGTATGGTCGCATTCGAAAGATCTCACACAGCTAGATTAATGATAGTGCAGTTTATTAGAGCAGTGACAGATACACAAGTTGTTTGGATTGCCGCTGATAAATTCACTGTCTGCGAAGCACTTGCAAGTTTAGATAAGAATAACACAACCTGGCTATAAAGCACACTAAGTTGTAAAAGCAACTCTATAGAGATTTCTGAGTTTCCTGGGGAGCACTCGGTGTAACTGTGTATTCAAGTCTTACCCAAAGGCGTACTAATGGGGGGGAAAAGAGGCTCAGCCTGTTGACTGATCCCAGACGTCTAAGATGGTCTGTGACTTGTCATTGATGGTATCTTCCCTAACATCCTTCTCTCATAGGCCATTTTTATATTATTTTTTACCTTTCAGGTGAAGCTTGAGTGACCCTAGTCATACATACCTTTTGTTATGATTAGTGTAAAATTCTCTTGCTTTGCTTTTAAAGGTATAGACTGAAGAAATTCAGGGTGTAAGCTCAGTGAGGGGTGGTCACACCTTGAAGGAGGGTAGCTTTTGGGATGGAGGTGTGTTTTGGTATTATAATGAGATTATAATGAGCAAAGTTCACCCAAAGGATGATATTTTGTCAAAAAATGACAGTGTTGGCCCAGGGTAGCAACCATGCACTTTATCAGTTCCATGGTACCATCAAGTTCCCATCCCAGCAGTGAATCACAGAGCCTGGCCACGGTGATTTCACTCCGCTCCACTCTCCATGTTGTTTTCTCCTAGAGTCAGCACATCAGGCTACTCTGATGCTGTAATGTTGCCAACACAAAAGTTGCCTAGGGAACTTCTGTGGAATGGATTCCTTGCTTACCTGCTGCACTCTGTTCTGTATCTTTACTTAATGTGTGAACAATACTATATCTTTAATATAAGTTTAATTTCCAAGTCACCTCCAGTAATTATTCCACACCTAGTCAGGGGTATCTGATGAAAGAATAGAACTACTCTTGAGGGGTGTCAAGCAACAGCGTAAGCAGAAGACACAGAAGTTGTTCTTAGGAAGCCAAGCTACACAAAGGCCTGCTAGGATCCAAGAAACAGAGCAGAACAGGTCTGAGTCTGCGTCTTATACAGACACAGTAAACACTGGATAAACTGAAGTGTGTAGCCTAAGATGTAATGACACGAAAAGAAAAAAAGTGGACTTGTTCAGGAATTGTCTTAAGATTTTTTCCCAATCAGGAATTTTAAGGCAAGAGTTTTGGAACATTTTTCCATAAAAAAATATTCTTTGTTTACAGAAAAGTTCATATCTGCTTGAGTAAAAAGCATGCATGGAATCACAGAATCATAGAACATGTCGAGTTAATATTCTGAATTGACATAGATAATGATTTTCTGTAGATGTTTGTGAAAAACAAATGTTGAAACAAAAAAAACCCCCAAACCTTCTGCCAAATTCAATCAAAACCAGTCACTGTTGTAATAAAACAACAATATGGATGACATTCGTTTGTTAGGCTACAGATGAACAACGGCAAGTGGGGGAACACTAATAATCCAGTCAGGGCCCTGCCCTTGACCCCCTCTAAGGCTCTTCCAACAGAGCAATCAGCCCCATTGTCCACGTGTGAAACTGATCAGATGAATAAATGTGAGACGTATAGATGGGGCACTTAGGGACATGGTTTAGTGGTAGACTTGGCAGTGTTAGGTTTATGGTTGGACTCTATGATCTTAAAGGTCTTTTGCAACCTGAATGATTCTATGGCTTTATGAGGGCTTTCTGTGTCACCTTAGAGACTGAGGGGGGCTACTGCCTAGAGGGTATGGAACACTCTATGGAATGCAAGAGAAGACCATCTTGGTATTGCACAAGGCTTATTATGGGATGTTTAAGGGCAGAACCTGTGGTGGGGAGAGGGAGGGAGCAAGGATGTTTGGGTAGGCGCAATCATGGAAAAATAGAAAGGTAAGTGGATAAAAGGACCAGAGGCACAAATTGAAACACAGGAGTTTCCATCTGAACATCAAGAAACACTTTTTTACCATGAGGATGAATGAGCATGGAACAGATTACCCAGGGAGGTTGTAGAGTTATCTTCATTGGAGATATTCAAAAGCCATCTGGACATGGTTCTGATAACTGGATCTAGGTGGCCCTACCTGAGCAGGGGGGTTGGACTAGGTGACCTCCAGAGGTCCCTTCCAACCTCAATCATTCTGTGATTTTGTGAAAAGCAGTCAGTGGTGGGTAAGCATGCTGCTGGTCAGTATGCTTGTCTGGCTATGCCCTGCACCTGATCAGTACTGTCCATTGTGTCTTATGAAAATATTTTTCTAACGGTGAGGTGACTATTCGGTGCGCATGTATGTGTATGGAGGTCTAAGTGCCAGCAACTGGAGCTGGACAGCAGGTCATAGAATCCCATGTCTTTGGTGCTGTACTAGTTTTGGTTGGGATAGAGTTACATTTCTTCATGGTAGCTTGTATGGGGCTATGTTTTGGATTTGTCGTTAAAACAGTCTTCATATCACAGGGATGTTGTAGTTACAGCTAAGCCGTGTTTATACAGCATGAAGACCTTTTCTGCTTTTCACACCACTGTGCCAGTGAGCAGGCTGGGCGTGCACAAGAATTTGGGAGGGGACACAGCTGGGATAGCTGACCCCAAATGACCAAAGGGATATTCCATACCATATGATATTATGCTTAGCAATAAAAGCTGAGGGAAGAAGAAGGAAGCGGGGGGATGTTTGGAGTTACGGCATTTGTCTTTCTAAGTAATGGTAATGTGTGATGGAGTCCTGCTGTCCTAGAGATGGCTGAACATCTGTCTGCCGATGGGAAGTAGTGAATGGATTCCTTATTTTGCTTTGCTTCCATGCACAGATTTCCTTTACCCGTTAAACTGTCTTTATCTCAACTCACAGGTTTTTCTCACTTTTACCTTTCTGATGCTATCCCCTATATGACTGTTCACTCAACTCCTGCTCAGATTTTAGCTAACACAGCTCATGCTAAGGCCTGATGTATGCTGGGAGCAGTGCCTTTAGGTCAAAGCAAGAACACCACTTAGACAGGACAAGTGCCCAGAAAGAGCTAAAGGACCATTATGCAGCCATTATCACCTGCAAATTGCTGGCTTCTGCAGCCATTGTTTTTTGTCAGGCAGAACCTGCTAACTGATGAAAATGGTATAGACCAAACTTCCAAGCTGGAAGGTATAAAACATCAGCTTACCCAAAAAGCCTTTGAAGCAGATGCAACAGCAGGTAGACTGCTGAGGCTTTCATGCTTTCTGGTGTGATACAGAGGATGCCTGCACTGTGATGGAGGAGGAAGGATGAGCACTTTCACTGGTGGCTAGGTTACTAAGTTGTTGTTTTGTTTTTTTTCTCACAGTGATACCTCAACATAGCTTAGCTGAATGGAAATTCTGATAAGAAAAATAATTGCTTTGTACTTGACGAATAATCACACAATCACGGAATCACAGAATGGTAGAAGTTGGAAGGGACCTCTGGAGATCATCTAGTCCAACTCCCCTGCCAAAGCAGGTTAGCCTAGAGCAGGTCACACAGGAATGGGTCCAGTGGGGTTTTGAATATTTCCAGGGAAGGAGACTCCACAACCTCCCTGAGCAGCCTGTTCCAGTGCTCTTCCACCCTCAGAGTAAAGAAGATCCTTCTCATTCAAGCGGAACTTCCTGTGTTCTAACTTGTGCCCATTGCCCCTTGTCCTGTTGCTGGGCACCACTGAAAAGAGCCTGGCCCCATCCTCTTGACACCCACCCCTTAGATATTTGTAAGTGTTGATAAGGTACTCTCTCAGACTTCTCTTCTTTTGGCTAAAGAGCCCCACATCTCTCAGCCTTTCTTCATGAGAGATGCTCCAGCCCCCTAATCATAGTAGCTCTCCACTGGACTCTCTCCAGTAGCTCCCTGTCTCTCTTGAATTGAGGGGCCCAGAACTGGACACAATACTCCAGACATGGCCTTACCAGGGCAGAGCAGAGTGGGAGGATGACCTCCCTCGACCTGCTGGCCACACTCTTCTTAATGCATCCCAGGATGCCGTTGGCCTTCTGGGCTACAAGGGCACATTGCTGGCTCGTGGTCATCCTGTTGTCCACCAAAACTCTCAGGTCCCTCTCTGCAGAGCTACTCTCAAGCAGATTGACCCCCAACCTGTACTGGTGTATGGGGTTATTCCTTCCCAGGTGCAGGACCCTACACTTGCCCCTGTTAAGCTTCATTTGGTTCATTTCTGCCCAGCTCTCCAGCCTGTCCAGATCTTGCTGAATGGCAGCATGGCCTTCTGCTGTATCTGCCACGCCTCCCAGCTTCGTATTCTTCATGTCAGAAAATTTGCTGAGCATACACTCTGTCCTTTCATCTAGGTCGTTGATGGATATACTGAATAGGGCAGGCCCTAATACTGACGCCTGGGGAACACCACTAGTTACAGGCTTCCAGCTGGCCTCAGCACCCCTGATCACAACCCTCTGAGCTCTGTCCTTCAGCCAGTTCTCAACCCACCTCACTGTCCACTCATTTATCCCACACTTCCTAAGCTTACCTATA